CCGAGTTAGGCGGCTGCGCCTTTGGCCCAGTAATCTGACTAATCTGGTCAGGCAGAAAAACTAAACAAAAGTGGAAAGTCACACACTGTACTCCATAAAAAAGTCGTTTCTTTTTTTCTTTTTAATTTGAGTCATTATTCGTAAAGTGGCAGACTTTTACTTTCAACCCGTCCATTTCCAAACGTGCCCGCACTCGCAATGCATCTGTTTGAGCGATCCACTCGCGGCTCTCTCCCCACACCTGCAGTACAATGAGCAACCTCCTTTCGAAAAACAAATGAACAAAGTCACGGGTGCATTTGTGGCAATTGTTTTGACACAAATTTGCCCCCCCTGATGTGAAGCCATCACACTTCCACTGCTGATATCAGCTTTGGTGTGGAAAACATACAGAATAGCATTCAAGTCAAACGCTTTTCGCGATTGCTTTTTGATTGACAGCTGAGGTCTACTTGTCGGCAGCGTGCTCGCTCACTGCCCCCTTTGCTAGTCAGAAATAACAACCGTAACATACGTTCCCTGTTCCAAAAAGATATTTCAACAATCCCACACATTATTACCTACTGGTCTGGTTTTGTTGATAATCTACACTGGGGAGAAATCTGGTCTCTCCCATATAAATACCTCCTGACGAATAAAGTAAGGGAAATCTCTTTTAAAATGATACACAAATACTATCCCACCAAGCATTTTCTTCTTAGGTTCAAGAAGGACATCCCTGTTGAGTGTTCATTTTGTGGAATGTACCCTGAAACAATGGTTCACTTGTTCTGGCAATGCCAGTATACCAACACATTTTGGAAAGTTGTATCCAGATTTATTATTGAACACATCGACTCTGACTTTATGCTATACTGGAAAAATGTACTATTTGGGTTCTACAAAAGTAAGGAAAAAAACACTAAACAAACCTTCATTATAAATTTAATAATCATTCTCGCTAAGTTCCATATCCACAAATCCAGATGGAAAAATTCAAAACCTCTTTTCTTAATTTTTGAAGCAGAAACAAAGCAGTACCTGTGTTCTATTATGGATTCCAAAAACAAGAAAGCTGTTAAGACTCTGGCTATATGCTCCTTATTTGAAATTTTTGTCCAAAAAAACCCTGGCTTCTTTTTTGTTTAAACGTTTGTAATATATGTATGTATTAATAACATGTTCGTTTTGTTTTCTGTTTACTGAGAATTGTATTCTGACTTGTTCAATAAAGATTATTAAAAAAAAAAAAAAAAGATTGTTACCGTGAAAAAAAAAACTGCCCCCTTTGCTGACGTTGTTTTTTACGTTGAGGCACAAAAACAAAATTAAAGGAGCAATGTGTCGTAATAACTCTACCCAATTGTCTACATCTATACACTCAGAGATAAACTGCGAAGTCAATTTAAAATGTTAAAATTACTCACTGAGAACAGGGCTTGTGAACAGCGGAAAAACTTGCTCATTGAACCGGATGTGGTACCGTTCTTGTGCTTGTACTTCTTCTTCTCGGCGAATTGGATGTCTTTATTTCATATCGCCCCCTACTGTCCGGGAAACCACAAAGGCGTTTGGCAAGCAATCTGAATCTAATTTACAGAACTGTATTAGCCAAGCGTGCAAAAACACAAAACACTAAATTAGGGCATATCTTAAAGAACCACAGATTTCAAGGGCAGCCGATCCACTGAGCTGGTGGAAATACCGAGCTTCCGTCTACCCCCGTTTGATCAAAGTAATGGAGAGTAGATTGTGCATTGTAGCAACATCTGTCCCGTCAGAGAGGGTGTTCTCAAAGACTGGACAAATTGAAGTATTCCAAGTTGAAGTATTTAGTTTTGTTGACTGCAAATTTAAAATAAAGCAAGTTGTAGCTTATGTTTGTTAAAATAAAGCAAGGAGTAGCTTATGTTTGTTTTGTTCACTGCTGCTGTTGCAGTTAATACTCACTATTTTTGTTATGATGCAGCATGTTTGATTGTTGTTGGTTGAAGTTTAATTTTGTTGCTTGTTTATTGTTTGGAGCCTTTTTTAATGTTCAATAAAATAAGTAAAAAGCCATTTTTTTTGCTTGATAATTGTTGCTATTTGCAGTCAGTAGATTGCAATATTTAGTTCACCAAGTCATTTATCAAAATGTATGCTAAATATTTAAAAGAAAAGCCGTTTGAGAGCCAAAAAGAGCCGGCTCTTTTCACTGAGCCGATCCAAATGAACCGGACCATCGAAAAGAGCCGAAAATCTCATCACTCATGGGTTGCAGGCTTGATCTCATTATTTCAGGTAAAGCTTACGACAACAAATGTTCAATGTTATTATTTCACTCTGAATTAATCTAATATGTCCGTTACAATACTTTTGCTCACTTGGAAAGTGGGCGGCTTCAAACAAAAAGTGTCCTGTGCTGAGTTGTTGATATAAATAGCATGCAGTAAAAGCTAGAATTCTGAACTTTTGGCTCATACCGTTTTTCATTTGACTGTTTTATGGGTGATAAATGTTTTTCATGCAAATATTTCCATGCTTAATTTCAAAGTTAAGAGGTGCACAATGAACTAGTTTGCAAAGTGGCGAAAGAAGAAGTTGGCATGTTCATTTACCGCCGTGCTGACTGATCTAATTTTATTGTATGTAGCTATAAGTGCTTATTTTCTAAATATTTAGTATAATTAGATTGACTTTACTACTGCGTTACTGTATGTGAGTTCGTGATCAATTACGGTGCGTTCCGATTTACGTACACGTTTTTTTCGGTTAAAACACGGTCGTAAGAACGGAATTAGGTTCGTAACTGAAGACCTTCCGAACAGTCCTGACAATCACTTCCGGTAAATGCCGGGGCATTAAAATACGAATCTACTAACATTGCAAAGCGCGTTGCTCGTTTTTCTTTTCTGTGTCACACCTCCTTATTTCGTTATTATATCACTGGCATGCCATGGAAGGCTCAGATTCATACCTCATACGACCCAACTATCAGCACAAGTGAGTTGTTTTAAATCTAAGTCGGTATCTTGTGATGTTAGCTTGTAGCCGGAGCCTTGCGGACGCTCGCGTTACCTAGCGACCGTAAACCGACGTTTTGCTCCTTCGTGCTTTGTGCGTTCTAATTGGTGTACAGTAATCATTGCGAACTATTAAAAACTAACTCCATAAAAGACTTGACTCTAACAATGGTTGACTGTCCTCTGATTATTATTTGTTTCATGTTATTATTTATTGCTCTCATGCTACGAACTCGGGTCACCAACATCCTCTTAAAATAATGGCTAAAGTCATAGTTTGACAAAAACGTAAATTTTTGGCTTAAAACATATAATTAGGCTGCAGGTTGTAGTGATTTTCATTATCATGATAATGAGTGGAAAAGTTGAGTTTTTTTTTTCGCTATAAAAGTTCGTTACAGATAATGATAAGCTCTTATAATTTTCATCCTTATATGTCCGTTTCAATTGATACATACGTTCAGCGATGACTTTGTCACTCTTCGTGCTTAACAAATGATAGACATGCATGATTGTTATTTTTTCTTTATGATCCCCAATAAAATGTTCCCAAATGTATAGGTAATGATCATTATAATGATAATGAAACCCAAGTTACTTTAATGATAATGAAAATTTGGCTGGATTGATAATGAGAGATGATATAATTACAACCCTGTTAGGATGCTAGCAACCTCTGCCAAAATCGGCCACATCCTCAACATATCATTGAGTCCTACCCAAGAGAAGAAATTATTGATAAATATAACATCCGTATTTGAATGATTTGATGATCAATGCCGGTTTTCCACCACTGCAATGTACAATTTAAATGTGGAGCAATTAAACTGTTTATATCAACTTTACAGCATAAATGTTGTATTAGTATTTATTGGTAATTTATTGTCTACTTAAATATTGGCAATACAATTGTGTATTGTAGATTCCTGGATGAGATTTGTTCAATGGCCATATTGTTTTAATATTTAGAGCAGACACTCACACGGGGCAGCACTCTCACTTATTGGTCGGTCAGCACATCTGTACATTTCTGAGGTTTGCGTTTAGGAACAAACGATATTGAAACTATTTAATTCCAAATACTCTGTAAGAGGGCAGGTAATAGCTGAGGATTGCATTTGGACTGAGGCAAATTTTTAATTCTTTTGTTGGCCTTTATGTGACTTTCTAGATTCAAGCCTGCAGTTGTAAAGGAGTGCATTCGTGAAACAGTGAAGGCGCGCTTATCCGAAGTACAATACGACCCAGATGAGGTTTCAGAGCTAACCCGCACACTTGCTGACAGTGTGAAGAATAAAGTGAAGAGTGAGTGATGCAAGTCCGTTACACAAACACACGAGCTTGCCTGCTCCTAACCTACAGTGGGGGAAAATGAAATTGAATATCCAATTAATTGTTTGCATTATTATTGATCATTGTATTGTTTATTATTTTTCTTCCAACACAGAGTTAGGGTTTGACAGGTACAAGTTTGTTGTGCAGGTAACCATCGGAGAGCAACGCGGACAAGGAGTCAAGTGAGTGACGGATTGATTCAAATGATGATTGTAAAGCGTTGTATAAAACTTTTGATTTGACAGGATGTCGTCAAGGTGTTTATGGGATGCTGATACAGACAACTATGCAGAAGATGTTTTCATGAACGCAAGTACTTGTATTCTTTTAGGACTTTTGTGTGATTTTTGGAGTGGCTTTCTGTTAGTGTGTGTTTATTCCAGAATATTTTTTGTCACTTTCACAGGAAAGTTTGTTCTGTGCGGTGGCCGTGTTTGGAAGCTATTTCTACTAAGCAGCCGGGAGTACGAATGTGGAGGAGGATAGCAGCTGCCGAGGTGGAAAGCGCGACAGAAATCCAATGGAGACCCACTATCATTCTGAGTTTTACATTTTGACTTCTTGTCACTGTGTCTAGTCCTTTATGGTGGTATCTTACTGAGGCTTGCAAGTGTTTGCAAACACAGCAACTGTTGTTTTTTCGTCAGATTTCTAAGAGGTTGCAAAGGCGTTGGGCAGATTCTCGCAAACATTTTTAATGGTCACAGATAGTAGTTCTTGTCACCCTCAAATTTTGAACGTGTTCAAAATTTCTTTACGCAAGCGTTCGCCGCTCAGTGAGATATGGGCTGTATGATTGAAATGAAATTTGAAAATGGAAAACACACATCTTACTGAAGCAATAGAACCCCGTGAGAAAGAAATTATAATTATATTCATATTAATTATCCCGAAAACTACTACAGGTTGAAGATTAGTATTGTAGTGCATTGCCAAACTGTGTTTGTGGTGCAGGCATAACGGAGATCATGAAATGATTGACCCCCAGATCATTTGTCCCTATACCCCTTCGTGTAAATCACTACCCAAAAAGTAGTGCTTCGTTTCAAAAACGGGGTTGACCCCTGCATTAAATTACCATGTTGGTGGATTAATACATCTCCAACCGTGTCAATCAAAACTGAGTATTCTTACCTTTGCTACAGCTCTTCAGTCATTTTCATTTCATTGTGTTGTTGTGATGAAGTGTCAGTTGAGTGTGTATTTAAGCACTCAAAAGGTTGTGGAAACTGCGTCGTGCATGAATATGAAATCAGAAGTCATTTAAAATGTGAAATAGTCATTTATTTTCTTTGTGCCTCTCGGCTTTAAGAGGTCCTCCAAAAATGCTCACAAATGTGTTTTGTCCGGAAGCAGGCATATTGTCTGATTTCGAGGTAGGTTGCCATGAACACTGGCCTCTCGTACGCTGAAGTCATTTCAGTTTCAGCATGTATTATACAAATCAATAAATGCGAGACATGTTTTGAAGCAATGGTTCTCTTTGGACTAGCAGTTGACTTGATTCATCAACACAACATAGGCACAAACATCACAAAACAGAAAATTGTTGACCCCCCCTATACACACACACACCCCACACACGCTTTTCATTCCAACCTCGACCCACCATGTCAAAAGAAAGTGATCATTGTGAAAAATTTTAATGAAAAATAAATAGCGGGCGAGCTTGACATTCATGTAACCTTTTATAACCTTTAATGAACCCGGACGTTAAAACGAACATTGGCTATATTCGCTAACACTCGCGAACCTTCGCTAACACTCAATGAGATAAAGGCTTCAGCTCCTGCTCCTGCCACTCAACCCTGGAGCACTGGAAGAAAATGGATGGATGGAAATCAGTCTTGGTGAAGCAATCAGATTTTCATTCTTTTCTTAAATTAACATTTTTCCCCTTGGGGCATTGGATTGATCACAACTTGCGCTGCTTCGGTTGTCTTGGAAAATATTTCGACTCTCATTCGAGAAGGCTGGTCTGTGCTAACCAAGCCTTGTTGCATGAACTGATGAAGCCTTCTCGGATGAGAGGCGAAAGATCTTCTCGGACAACCAGAGCCATCTTACATTAATAATAAGTAAACTTCAGAGGTTCGTGTGTTGTTCCAGAATGCTCCATTTGAAGGCTCTCCTGGATTCAGTTGTGCCTACGCACTGATGAGGACAGATTTTCCACTCCTTATATCCGAGCAGTTGTTTCCGAGAGTGGTTATCACTTCATATGTCCAGTTGATTGAGGAGCATCAGGCATCTGTCTGTATGTAAGCACAGAACACTTAAAAGTGCCTTGGGAGATGAGATGTCAGAAATTCTGAGCTGGCTTTGCGTGAGAGGCAGTGTACACTCGAGACTGTTTGCCTGGCAATCACTGGCCACATGCAATTGCATCTCAATAAATTTGAATATCACAGAGAACGTATTTCAGTTGTTCATCTCGAAACTTAAATGTTTGAAAGACATTTTAAACAGTGAGAAATATTTAAAGTCAGCTGATTATGGCATACAGTTAATATAATATATTTTAGGATCTCGTAATCACCAAACTTTGACCCTTAGCTTATTCCATGCCAAATCATCCACTGGATTTAACAAAGCGCATTTTGATTTGAATTAAATTTGTAGTTCTTGATCGTATAAATATCAAATTGTGGGTCAAATTGTCGGGGCGCACATCAAACAACAATGACAAAACATAAACGTGATGTCATGGCTAACTCCACTCAAATGTGGCTTCTTGAGATTTTTATTCTAATTAGCCACATTGGCTAAGAGGTTTCATGACCTAGCGCCATCCCTGTTAATCAAAAAAGGTTGCGAATCACTGCTTAATTACATGCTCTTTTGAGAACTTTAGTACTTGTGAGGATGTTTTTTTTCTTGTATGGCTACTTTCATCCCCAGCCATTTAATAGCGCGGTGTGCATAGTTGGTAAACTGACCAACTTTTAGGTATGCCCCTTCAGTCCTCCCATATCGCCCTCCCTCATCGTGGACGCCCACAGCTGCTCTATGACTTTCAATCCTCATCACCCAACTTTCATCTGCTCACATATTCAAATTCCATTATCAGCCATCCTCACTGTCATTATCAGTAAGTAGTGTGTTTATATGCATCATTTATGAGCAGTCCCCTATGGCAGATTGGATTCCATTCGTTTGTACCTGAGCTTGAAGCTGCAATTGTGCGCTGTTTCACACACACACACACACACACACACACACACACACACACACACACACACACACACACACACACCCACACACACCAACCCACC